TCCCCGTTCCGTTCATATTTGAGTGACATATACATTCAAAGCAGATCATGACCGAAATGCACCTGCATATGTACAACACATTGTGCTAAATCTGAAAAAAATCCATCCATGCATGACTGAGATCCGGTTCTGGAATTGTGAAAATACGCGATTTTGATGCATTTTCGGCCTTAAAATGGCCATCATTTCGCTATTGTTAAGCAGATCATGAAACAAATGCACATATCTATTTGTGACATGATGTACCATGTGTGTGTGAAGTTTGAACTTGATCAATCCAGACATGTCTTGGATACGGATCCAGAACTGAATTCTTTAACAAAATGGCCGCCAGTCGGCCATTTCGAACCCGATCCGAAAAAAAAAACAGACGTGCATCAAGGTCCTATTATGTTTAATGTATGTACCAAATTTGAACAAAATCCATCCATGCATAACTGAGATACGGGTCCGGAATGGTGAAAATGTGCGATTTCAATGCATTTTCGGCCTTAAAGCGGCCCCCATTTGGCTATCGTTAATGAGATCATGAAACAAATGCACATACATATTTGTGACATGATGTACCTTGTGTGTGTGAAGTTTGAACTTGATCAATCCAGACATGTCTCGGATACAGATCCAGAACTGAATTCTTTAAAACAAAATGGCCGCCAGTCGGCCATTTCGAACTTGATCCGAAAAAAAAAATGACGTGCATCAAGGTCCTATTATGTTTAATGTATGTACCAAATTTGAACAAAATCCGTCCATGCATAACTGAGATCCGGGTCCGGAATGGTGAAAATGTGCGATTTTGATGCATTTGAAGTTTGAACTTGATCAATCCAAGCATGTCTCAGATACGGATCCAGAACTGAATTCTTTAAAACAAAATGGCCGCCAGTCGGCCATTTCGAACCCGATCCCAAAAAAAAAATGACGTGCATCAAGGTCCTATTATGTTTAATGTATGTACCAAATTTGAACAAAATCCGTCCATGCATAACTGAGATCCGGGTCCGGAATGGTGAAAATGTGCGATTTTGATGCATTTTCGGCCTTAAAATGGCCGCTATTCGGCTATCGTTAATCAGATCATGAGAAAAATGCATGTGCATATGTCCCATATAATGTGTGATGTATGAGTGAAGTTTGAACTTAATTGGTCCATGCATGTTCGAGATACAGGTGATCACGGACGGACGGACGCACACAGAGCAAAACATAAGTCCCCGTTTTCGGACTGCGTCCGAACGGGGACTAACAAAACTTTTGCTCTGGAGGTAGCTTATAATAAATCTAATTTTTTCAATTGACAATGAGTGAGAATTTTTGAAGCTAACTCTGTGTTGAACATTTTTGATTTATTTATCATTTACTTATTAAGTACGTAGCTTGTTCTTTTCTGGTTTAAATACAGTTATAAATTAAATATTATAGTAGATTTGTTTTAATTTTATTTATCACTACAAAGACAGCAGAGCTATTTCTGCAATTAAGTTGCTTGTTTCAACAACCTAACAGTAAATATTGGATTTGTTTTACAGAAGGTTTGCCCCATAAATACAAGATTGTGATTGCCGGAAATCATGACCAAGCGTTTGATCAAACTAGATGGCCATTACTTAAAAAATATTTTGGGATAAAATTCACAGATTCTAAATTACAGTTGAAAAATTGTATTTACCTGGAAGACAGTGCAGTTACTGTGCTTGGTTTTAAAATCTATGGATCACCATGGTGAGTTTAAAATATAATATTCCATGATGTTTACAATATCTCTACATTGTAGTGGATCATTGTATGATGTTTACAATATCTCTACACTGTAGTGGATTATTGTATGATGCTTATTACTCACATGCAGGCAGCCGCAATATCACCCAGGTGCTTTCAATCTTTCAAGAGGGCAGGCATTATTAGATAAATGGAACATGATTCCTTCCAATATTGATGTTCTATTGACTCACACACCACCATTAGGTAAGTATGCAGGTGTGCATTAATTGTTATGCACCTGTAACTCAGACTTATCTTGACTGATCATATCCAAACTTGCATCTTATATGCACCTGCATTTGTTTCCTGATCTGATTTAAGATTGCCGAATTGTGGCTATTTTAATGCCAAAGATGAATCAATCAAGCATTTCTGCCAATATGGAATCAGATCTCAATCATGTATGGATAGATTTTATTCAAACTTGGTACATACATTGGAAACTATTGAACCTTGGTGCATGTCATTTTGTTTAAAATTAACAATTGCCAACTTGTAACCATTTTGTTTTAATGAATAATAATAAAAAATGTTATCTCTTCAGATACATACACACTCATTTTATCATGTAATTGCTATAACCATAACATATTAATGACACTGATATACTTGTACATTTTATCATATCAGGTCACGGTGATGAGTCTACTTTGAATGGTCATGCTGGTTGTGTTGATTTATTGAATACTGTACAGCAACGTGTCAAACCATTGTATCATGTCTTTGGTCATATACATGAAGGTAAGAACTCTACTTGTATAGATTACATTAATTTGTCTTGTTGTTGATTGCAGCTTTTGTTTTTGTGTACATGGTTATCGTAAACATAAAGGTAGCAACCGACTCATGATTTCAAATATTCAGAATTTATTCATTTTCCAATAAATTGCACTTCAGGACACAAGGCTATTGGAAAGCATTTTAAGTTTAGTACTAACATGTATGCTATTGGAAAGCATTTTAAGTTTAGTACTAACATGTATGCTATTGGAAAGCATTTTAAGTTTAGTACTAACATGTATGCTATTGGGAAGCATTTTAAGTTTAGTACTAACATGTATGCTATTGGAAAGCATTTTAAGTTTAGTACTATTAAACATGTATGCTATTGGGAAGCATTTTAAGTTTAGTACTAACATGTATGCTATTGGAAAGCATTTTAAGTTTAGTACTAACATGTATGCTATTGGAAAGCATTTTAAGTTTAGTACTAACATGTATGCTATTGGAAAGCATTTTAAGTTTAGTACTATTAAACATGTATGCTATTGGAAAGCATTTTAAGTTTAGTACTAACATGTATGCTATTGGGAAGCATTTTAAGTTTAGTACTAACATGTATGCTATTGGAAAGCATTTTAAGTTTAGTACTAACATGTATGCTATTGGGAAGCATTTTCGCACAATTGCTCACGAGATCATTATTTCAACTAATCAGTCATGCAATTTTCTTTCTCCTCTCAAATGAACACAACTTGATTTCCTGTGCATATGCTTCATGTGCATGGCTGGTAGATAGAAATAAGGTTGGGGTGAAATAGTGTGTTTAAAAATAAATGCGGCAAGGTTTTTCTTGATCTGGGGGTCATTGTATATATCACACTAACATTGTATTTGTTGATTGTTTTTTGTCAGGATATGGAGTTACTACAAATGGCAATACAGTATTTATAAATGCAGCAATTTGTAATGAGCATTTTAAACCATGTCATGAACCAATAATATTTGATTTACCACATGCAACAAGTTTACCTGATGAATCATAGAAGTAACAGTGATGTTATTGGATATTTTTATATAATTACACATACTTATAATGTATACTTGAAAAATTATTTATTTAGTCATTCATTTTTTCATGTTTTGAGATGAATTGTCACATATATAAAACAGGTGTCACCAATTCTAATTACTAGTTTCTTTTCAACTTCTGTTTCTGATTCTCACTAAACCAACACAAGCTCTTTGTCTTTTCATCTATTTGTTGCAAGGCTTTTTGTTTTTAGAATTTTATAAAAAATGCCTGTGGTTTCTTAACATTTTTTAGTATTTGTATAAACACAAATCGAATGAGTAAGATTTTATATTAAAATAATACATAAAACGTTGGCTTTCTGTGTCCTAATTGTTGCATATGACTTTATTACCGGTATTATAGTTCCATACACTTATATTCTGTTAATCACATAAACTGGTTGTGTTTGGTGTTTAAGAAGGCAATGTAATTGGGAAAATAATTATTTCATTCATGAAAACTGAAATTTTTAACAATTTCATGAAATTGATTCTAAAATTTTGAGGCCAAAACTGAATCACAAAGTATTATGGGAAAGAATTTATGTTAAATAAAAGACAGTTGTATGAAATTCCATTTCATATTTTACAATTGTCGACAAATTCCAAAATCTGTTAACAAGATATGATAGAGTAAGTGTGTAGTATTCATACTTAATAAATAAATGAGATGTTAATTGTTTCAACTTTTTCGTTTTTCTCATAAATATAAATAATTTATAAGCAAATTATATATAATAATAATGTTTGACACAACATAGCTGTACCACATTCTGTGGCACCCGCAATATTAATGTCATAATCAAATGAGTTTTCAAATCTGGGGGTCATCTTTATAACCGTGTTATCATATTGACCCTTAAAGACAGGTCAGTTATTACAAAACTTTTGACAATAGTTTGGACAAAAAAAATAAGTCTGCATATGTATTGCTTAGTGAAAGAGTTGTATATCCATTGGAAAGTTGTTAAATTTGGTTGGAAATGTTGTTTGAGAATAGGTTCAATTTACTTACAAAAATAACAGTTGGATTGAAAGTCGAAAACTTAGTTTGCCAAGAAGTGAAAATGTGCATTGTGAATTTGTAAAAATAAGGATACAAAGTCGGAAAAGTTGTACATGTCACAGTGTGCAGGAAAGACATTAAAATTAGTTGCAATGATAGAAGTCATATCTAGAAGTCAAAAAGTATGTTACAAAGACAAACAAGTAGGTCACTGTCAAAAATGTTGGTTGGAAAATCTAAATCTAAAAGTTTGACAGGAAGTCAAATAGTTTGCTGGAATGTAGGTGGGAGTGAGCAGCTTGCCATAATGAAGTAAATCAAAAATGGCAGTTGGAAAGTTGGATCGAAAATATTCAATAGCCGAAAGTGTTGGTTAGAAAATAGTTGATATTTGCAGAAAGATGTAAAAGTTAGTTGGAGAGTCAAAAACGTTGAAAATACAATTATAAAATTTGGTCAAAGGTTTTATGAAAAACAAGCAGCCTCTTGGCTGGGATAGCTCCGCTGTTAGCAATGCACATTTCAATTAAAGAACTGAAGATATCATTAGAAAATGAACAATGTGTATAGTATCAATGCAATGTGACTTGCCGTTTTTGAATTCGAAACTATCACTTTTTACCAAAAATATTCAAGGTACATATACACCAAGTATCAAACCAATCAGACTTGTAGTTTGCAAGAAGTCGAAAAGTAAAATGTTCACAAACGACTACAGGGACTGACAATCACTTGCTGTCATCTTTGTCAAGCAGAGCTAAAAAGTTGATGTGGGCGATGGACAATCACTCAAATGATAAGCTCCGCTTGACAACTTTGACAGCAGAGCTAATAAATTAATCCAGTGAACAACCCAATTTGTAAGTATCTAAACTTTACATCTCAATTTTGGTTAAAATTAACAAGTCTTAGACTTGCAGTGCAATACACTGCAATTCTTGATGAATTCTGCATGGATACTCAAATTTTTGTTATTTTTAGAGTTTCATATACATGTATTTGGAGAATTGATCTAGACATTGAACTTCATTTATAATATTTAAGGTAATACACAGCCCTAATAATAATACCTACTTTCATGTTTAGATATATCCTACGCAACGAGCCCTTGTGATCTTTTGTAAAATTATTTTCATCTCTTGTTTACTCTGTTTCTGTCCCATATCATCAACAAAGGATGTACATTGCCTCCAATGTGATACAAATGAGTCATCATTCAGTCAAATCGGTCAATCATTTATCTCTTTAATTCTGGCTTATTATAAATACACAAATCATTTATTGAGAAAAATGGACAAACTACAGAATATTTTTCAGTAATTTCCACATCCATTATGGTACAGTTAGTAGTGTATATTGTCATATATCGCTATAAAAATATTTGATATCAATTAATTGCACAATACAGCATGGTTATATCTACATGTATGTCTAATCAAACATCAAGTTATACTAAAAAACACTAAAGTTACAGGGACAGGTAACTGGTAAACAACAACGGGAATACAATGATTTGTGGTGTCTCTTTCACCTAAACATCTGGTTGCATCAAACAAGTCCCCAAGTAACCTGTTTATAAAAAAAATTATTCAATCACAAAAGATTATAATTATACTATTGTGTAGACTTGATATACCAGGTAGTTTTTCATTTCCTTGTATCAAGTCACTAAAAAAATGATGTATAAATGTCATACATAAACATGTATTAAATTCCTTGAAAACATTCTTGTTTATGTTTCACCACTCGCATGTTGTGGTGACATTTGATTAGAATTTGACAATTTGGTCGTGATGTAATTTATTTTTGAATACTTCATGCCAAATGTTAGATCAAAGAAAAGATAGATGCCTGTTCCTATGTCCTTGATAAAACCAAATTTACAAATTATACATATAAAATCAGTCTAATGTTTCATATAAGTCAATGTAAAAATGACAGTCCCAGTCAGTTTCAGTGTCTATCATTTTTAAACAATGTGATTCTAAAAGACAAACCTCATTGTAATGGTTTCACATCACTTGGTGACCCAAATCATTAACAGCCATTACATATGGCTTGAGATATAATACACAAATACAAGTGAAAATGTTTTATATTAAACATGTATTCACTCAAACACACACAAATTGCATCATAAAATACATACAAATCCAATTACAAACTGACAATAGATGTGTATACTATTATTTTTTTTGCTTTTGTTCCAAATTTAAACAAAATAGATCAAAAAGAGTAAGAGAAACAGACAAATAAAATATGAATAATATTTCATCAAAATCAAGAACAAGCTTTTTATGCAAACCATATCGTTTCTTTGTAATAAATTTAACACTTGTATGGTCAAATCAATGTACAATTAGAGTTAAACAATAGACCATAGTGCATCAGAAAAATGAGTGGTAACATGCAACAACCCCCAAATGGCCACCAATAGGCCATTTTGAATCAAATCATAAAATTATCAGTAAATTATATATGTAGATTAAATAGACAACAAAATTAGTCCAGGTATGGCTTGGATTAACACATACATTAAGCTTTTTCCAAATGTAAAATAATTTTGAATTTTCAAACTGTAATTGTAAATAAATGAGAACAACTATACTTAATTGTAAATCACGCTGGCATAAAAATTTCTCTGATGTATATGTAAAGTTCTAACACACAAACAAAATACATGAACTGTAATTTGTACTTTTTTTCTTGAGTAAGATGACTTATATAATGTTACTTGTGATCATGTCTGTCTATAACTACACTACACACATCAATACAGTGCATCAATACATCCTTTGCTTGACAAGTTATTCTGAAAAGTTACACACAATGCAATACATCACTACAAAGTTACACACAGTTATGACATTCAACTACACATCTAGGAAGTGCCACACTCATATGCCATGGAACTGGTGTTGGCATCTCAGATACAGTTTTCCAAGTATTCTTCTGAGGATCATAACACTCGATACTGTTGGAGATATTCCTTTCAGAATGTGAGAAATCTGAATAGCCTCCGATTGCATAGATCTTGTTATTACACACAGTGATGGTGCCTAAATAATGACGTTGATCCAGCGTGGCTGCTTCTTCCCATCTATCATTTCTTGGAGAATAACGCTGCATACGTCCGTACTCCCCACTTACAACATACACATACTCATGAATTGACAGCGCATTGGCTATAAATGTCAATATAGGAATATCAGCACCTCTTCGCCAAATATTTGTATCCGGGTTGAAAATCTGAACAGCACCAGATGGACTGTGGTACTTTGCAGTGTGTCCACCAATTACATACAGTTCCCCAGCATGGCTTGTAACAGCAGGGTAGTGTACACCTGTTGGCATTTCTGGAATATTGTCCCAATCATTGGTTACTGGGTTGTAACGTTCAACACTTTTATAGACAGTCCCTTCCAAGTTCTTTCCTCCCACAAGGTAGACATTATCATTCAATGATGCAGCCCCATAGAAAAAGCGATTAACATTTTTTGGACATTTCATTTGGAGCCACCGACGCTGACTGGAGTTGTACAGCCATGCATTTCCCTTCAGTGTGAATAACATGATATCAGTTCCTATCTTCACAGCAGATACGATGTCATCAAATGTTGGATCCGGCAAATCTACAATTGGTTGCCATTTGTTACTATCTGGATCAAAACTCTGTACATTGCGCACATTGCGAGGTGTACGAAATCCACATATGACAGCAACTACCTGGCTATAACTCCTAGGATGTGACCAACTATGTTTTTGTCTTATTCCATATCTTTCCTGTATAGATGAATTATGGTACTTGGCAGCCTCATCAAACAACTCATCACAGTCCACAATCAGTGGATCATTTTTAACTTTCTCATTCAGGAAAGTCTGGCTGATGAATGGCCATCGTATCATCTTCAACATTTCTGACAAACTGTCCTTACGATTCTCTAAATCATATCGAATATACCGCATAAGACAATCATATATAATATCTTCTTTCTCAACACAGACATTCATCTTCAAGTAAGTAGTAAATTCATCCAGGCCAATTTTCAGAAAATCACTCTGTTGGGCTATATCATCAAAATGTTCCAGTATATAGATATCTGCTGCAGTCTCTAAAGACTGACAACAATGAATCTGACCATACTGCTTCATACTAAAACAATTGATTGGATCAAGATGATTGGCTAGAAAGCGTCCAGTGGCCTCTAGAATAGGCAGAATTTGTAGAAGGCATGATGTCTCCAACATTGACTGCGAGTCATTCTCATCCATCTCTATCTCACCAGTATACATATATTTGATGAGTTTTTCCATAATACTATCATCTATGTTTCTGACTTCTACAACACGCTCCAAACTTTCCTTCATATTACTGGTAAACATAGCAGTAAAGTAAGGACTGCAAGCAGCAAGTAACACTCTGTGTGCCTCAATCAGTTCATTATTTACTTTCAGTTCAACATCTGTGTTTGTTTTTTCTTGTTGCATCTCATGTAACTTCTTCATTATCTCCATGGATACAGCTGCAACTCGTGCCTTTTCTTCTTTCAGTGCTTCTGACTGCCTCTGATGGAAAATATAAATGCGAATCTCATCTGGTAGGTTATCTGGGATCTTTGACTTCATTTCTCGTTCGTCTTTTTCTTGTTTAATCACCTTTTCTGAGTAGTCTGAGAGCATAGGAATTTCCAGTGTATCAGCAGCATCCTTTAATCTATACAAGCTGTTTTCAGTGGCTTCTATCTTACCAGAGTAGATAAAGTTTAATACATGATTAAATGTTGTTGCATCAATGTCTTCATCCAAAACAATTTTTTTAGTGCCATCTTTTTCTTCTGAAAGAGACAATACAGAGGACATGAATTAGTGTAGTCATGGCAACAGATTGAGTTGTCAGGAACTGATAGGAGTGAATACATAAATAATAATCTTTCTAATCAGAGTACAGAACCTCTGATTTGAGATACAGAAAACCTGCATATTTGAGCTATTATAACAAAACTCCACCCTGTTTATAGGAAATTTACAAGCATGAATAGATTTATTGCATATGTGTCAAGATTTCTTTGAAAACCTAGTCAGATCCAGGGAAGAGTTTTTTTTTTATAAACTTTTGGTATTTACTAGACAGTTGACACTTTAGCAAAAAGTCAGTTAGAATATGAATAGCCACACATCAATAATTCTACCATGATTTAACGTTGCAAAAGTTATGAATGAAATAGATTACCTGATGCAGAAGAGAGTCTTATTTTCCATGACTCAGCTGATGCTAGTAGAATTACAGCATGGCACCTGAATTCTTTACCGTCTATGGATACAATGGTGTCTGTTAATTTGCCTTCTTTTTGTAACCCATGTAAACCTTCCACTAGATTTAATGCATGCTTCTTATCATTAAAAAGATATGGACTTTTCACCTTTTCACCATCTGTAGTTTTCATGTCAAATGTTTCAGAGAGAGGTGTGTTGTCATATCTTCCAGGTGGGGGTCTAGGTGAAAAGTCTGACATCATAGATGAGTCACTATCTGAATCACTGTTTGTTGACTTAGCACAGGAAGAATCCACACTTTTCTGATTTGCTTTATTACTTTTGTGTGATTTACTTGGTTTCTCTTGTGATATGTCATCACTTTCTTTTGATGTACTTGGTTTCACTTGTGATATTTCATCACTATCTTTAGATGTATTTGGTTTTACTTGCGATATTTCATCACTATCTTTAGATGTATTTGGTTTCACTTGCGATATTTCATCACTATCTTTAGATGTACTTGGTTTCACTTGCGATATTTCATCACTATCTTTAGATGTATTTGGTTTCACTTGTGATGTTTCATCACTATCTTTAGATGTATTTGGTTTCACTTGCGATATTTCATCACTATCTTTAGATGTATTTGGTTTCACTTGCGATATTTCATCACTATCTTTAGATATACTTGGTTTCACTTGCGATATTTCATCACTATCTTTAGATGTACTTGGTTTCACTTGCAATATTTCATCACTTTCCATTAATACCATTGACTTCGCTTCTGATGTGTCATCACTTTCTTTAGATGCACTTGGTTGCGCTAGCGATATTTCATCACTTTCTTGTAATACCGATGTCTTTGCCTGTGTTATGTCATCACTTTCTTCAAATGTACTTGACCTTGTTTGTGATATGTCACCACTTTTGTTAGATGACCTTGGCTTTGGAGTATTCTCATCTGTAATTGGCTCTGCATTGTCAACATTGGGTGAAGTGTTTTGCATAGAAACATCAGAGCCATCATGTTTACTAGTGGAGTCCAAGTAAGAATCACGTTGTGAAGGCACGTTAGGTGTAGCTACATCATTGTCAGTTTCCATAGCTTCTTCATCTGGAACCTTGTCTTCAATTAACCCTATATTGCTGATCTGAAGAAATGACATTTCTTCCAGTACTCTTTCTGTTAAACAAAACAAATTCATAAAATCAGGATAGGAAATACTTAAAGTACACATTGATAGTTGGACCTGGTTGAAAAATATCAGTTTTGACCAATATTCACCCAAATATTTATGAAAATGTTTTCAACATTATTGACATGAAATGAATAATTCTGAGAAAGAACAACCCAAAAAATAAAAAAACAAAATTTGTAACCAATCTGAGTCCAAAATATCACTTCAGACCAAAAATTACCCAAAACAAGTCATTGACAAGTCATTGTCAATGACACA